AATAGTTGTCACCCTTGAAAGGAGATGCTATCTAGAAACATGGATTACTTACTTCCTTTAAAAAAAATCAGTTCTAGCCCTGACCGGTTTGGCTCAGTGGATAGAGCATCGGCCTGCGGACTGAGGGTTCCCGGGTTCGATTCCGGCCAAGGGCATGTGCCTTGGTTGCGGGCACATCCCCAGTGGGAGGTGTGCAGGAGGCAGCTGATCGATGTTTCTCTCTCATCGATGTTTCTAACTCTCTATCCCTCTCTCTTCCTCTCTGTGAAAAATCAATAAAATATATATTTTAAAAAAATCAGTTCTATTGAAGATCTAAAGTTTTTATTTTCAAGTAAGAACCATTATTTCTACTATTTTCTCTGTCTCTTCCTCCAAGCCTGAGTAAGGGGACATTTATCCTCGGAAGGGTACTCTGATTATACCAGCTGGCTTCCACTCTTGTATATTCCTGGACAGTATAGGCATTTGAGTTTATGGCCCCTGCTGTGTACATGATTCCTGGGGGTTTGATCAGTTACCATTATGTCATGTCCTACCTAGGGACTTTTCACTTTATCTATCTTTCTAGAGCATATTGTAGGACCCAAACACAAAACTGAAGTCATTAGTTGTACAATTACTATCAAGAGCATCTTTTTGTTTATGTTGGTGAATATCACTTTTCTCTTGCAAGGAATGCCTTTTGGAAGTTGTGCCAAGAAAAAGAAAAGATTTTCTCTTTTCCATAATTTTTATAACCTATAGCCATTTTAAAAAATATATATTTTATTGATTTTTTACAGAGAGGAAGGGAGAGGGATAGAGAGTTAGAAACATTGATGAGAGAGAAACATCAATCAGCTGCCTCCTGCACACCCCCTACTGGGGATGTGCCTGCAACCAAGGTACATGCCCTTGACTGGAATCAAACCTGGGACCCTTCAGTTCACAGGTGATGCTCTATCCACTGAGCCAAACCGGTTAGGGCTATAGCCATTTTCTTTTTGTTTTGGCTACAAGGAAGTTCAGAACTCAATTTATAACGTGCCATAATTCTGGTGGCATTTCTCCCTTACTTTATGCATCCTTGACTATTGCATTAATACTAATTACTAAAATGAGCACACACATACACATGTTCTACAATTTTCAAGTCCATTTTGCAAGAGATCGGGCTTCAACACATCAGTATGTAAGTGATATGTACACTAACTTCTCAAAGTCACCCTCCAAATTAACAACATATTTGTATTTATAAAATAAATGGGGAGGTTTTTTTAGAATAAGTAGTGAGTACTTACTGTACACCACATTCTCTTCTAAATGTATAACACTAGAGGCTCCATGCACAAATTTGTGCACCAGTGGGGTCCCTTGGCCTGGCCTATGGGGTTGGGCTGAAACTGGCTCTCCGACATCCCCCGAGGGGTCCCAGATTGCCAGAGGGCGCAGGCTAGGCCAAGGGACCCCACTGGTGCATGATTGGGACCGGGGAGGAATACGGGAAGTTGGCCAGCCAGGGAGGGACCACAGGAGGGCTCCAGAGCGTGTCTAGCCCATGTCACTCAGTCCCAATCAGCTGGACCCCAGCAGCAAGCTAACCTACCGGTCAGAGCATCTGACCCCTGGTGGTCAGTGCACGTCATAGTGACTGGTTGACCGGTTGACTGACTGCCCCCTGGTGGTCAGTGCACATCACAGCAAGCAGTTGAGTGGCCTTAACATATCACTAGCATATTATGCTTTGATTGGTTGAAGGGATGACCGGACACTTAGCATATTAGGCTTTTATTATATAGGAGGTATTAATTCACTCAATCCTCCCAACCACTCTATTATCTTATGGTTTTTTACACTTTTTAGAGAGGCAGAAACTGAAGGCCAGAGATTAAGTAATTTCTAATCAGGCTATGCCATTATTCCCTTGCTTATTTAAGAACCCTTCACATCTATCTCTTGCTTCTAAGAAATCTAGTCTGTTTATCAGTGTCCAAGATCCTTTGTCACATTTATCCAACCCATCTTCCTATCCAGTGCTGCCCCCACAAAGCCATAGTAATCGATTAATTATAGTTCTCCACATGTACCATGGCATTTCCCACCACTGTCCTTCACACTGCTTATTACACCTACCATCCCTCTAGCATTTTGAAGGTAAGTCTATCACAGCAGATATTACACTGTACTGTCATTTTCTAATCACAAGACTTTTAACAAAATTCTTCCAGTGAAGAATCTTGTTTGCTTTGTATATGTTTATTTTGGTGTATCTGATACTGAGCCCAATTGGGCTCATTGACTAATTATTTACCTAAATTTTCATTTGCTGAAATATTGATATAATTGAAATAATATATTTTGGATTATAAGTGACGGGGGATTTTTTTTTTTTTAGAATAAGTAGTCAGTACGTACTGTACGCCACATTCTCTTCTAAATATATAACATGTATTAATTCACTCAATCCTCCAAACAACTCTATTATCCTATGGTTTTGTACTTTTTTTTAGAGAGGCAGAAACTGAAGGCCAGAGATTAAGTAATTTCCCAAAGGACACAGCTGGTAAGAAGTGGGGCCAAGGTGGAGCCCCAGGAGAACTGGCTGCACAGATGGTGTTCATAGTCACTCTACTGCCTCCCATTTATGTATATTTGTCCCTTATGACACCTAATAATAACAAATCTTAATTTTCATTAAGTACTTCTGGGAATGCAGGGATTCCTTCTGTGCTCCAATAATTGATGAGCAGATTGATTTCTTGAAAAGTCTAGAGAAGTCTAACAAAATGTATTAGGTAGTAGTGTCTTTGAATGTAGTACATTTGTGCATATATTAGTTATTTAACCAAGAAGAAATAAGACTGAAAATATACTGACCAGTCTCCACCATCACAAGCAACTAAAGGAATGGCTCTCGTTGTAGGAGACAGAAAGAAACACCTATCTATGAAGCCTCTGGCACAGCTCACAGAAAGGGGATGAGGAATTGGCTACCTGAGAATATGAAGATGCAGAATTTTATCTACTAGTAAAGACTTAGTGTCAGATGTTGTTAGGGTATACTCAGAGAAAGAGTGATTTCTTCCACATCAACTGTGTTCCTTCTCTTTCATATTCAACGTAGTCAACTTAGAGTGAAGACAATACCTTTCCAATTTGCTGATGGTAATGCAAGCATTATCCTCCATGTTTCTTACATTATGGCAGGGGGGATCAGATAAGACTAAGGGTTGACTACCCTATGGATCTGAATTTCCAAAGCTGGAGGCCCTGGTTTCTCTAGTTAAAAGTCAGTCGTCAGTGATCCTATCAATAAGGTGAGCCAGGCTTTGGGCAGAGAGCTGGTTTCCCAGAAGGCAGGTGCCAGCTCCTCTGACCCCTGAATGACCTCAGCTTGGATCAGCTTTTATCAATCCCACTTCAGCTGGATTTGAGATAAGTTTTAACTAATAAGTAATATAAATCTCTTCTGTTTGTCCTAGAAGATGCACTTTCAACCAACATATATATATATATATATATATATATATATATATATATAACATATATATATATATATATATGCCTAAGCGACGGAACAACCGGATGACCAGCCGGTAGCTATGATGTACACTGATCACCAGGGGGCAGACACTTGATGCAGGAGCTGCCCCCTAGTGGTTAGTGCGCTCTCACAGCGGGAGTGCAGCTCAGCCAGAAGCCGGGTTTATGGCTGGTGAGTGCAGCTGCAGCTGCGAAAGCCTCTCCTGCCTCTGCAGCAGTTCTACTGAGCAGCAGCGGTGGTGGCAGCAGCAGGCACAGTGGGGCCAGGATGAGCATGAGCCATGCCTGGCCCCAGCTTGGGCTCCTCCTCAACCTCTTGCCACTTCCCGCACTGCTACATCCCTTGGGGGATGTCGGACTGCCACAGGGGATCGTACCCAAACTGGCACTCCAACATCCCCTGAGGGGTCCCAGATTGCGAGAGGGTGCAGTCCAGGCTGAGGGACCCCACTGGTGCACGAATCTGTGCACTGAACCTCTAGTATATTGTATTTATTAGTCTTTTTGAGGATAAGCCAGATTTACAGTGTTTCATTTTATTTCCTCACCACAAATGTATGAACAAGCACCCTTTTGCTAGTCTTTCCTCTGAGGTGGGTCTGGAGATTGACTGGGAGAGACTGTTATTTATTAGTGAGAGATCTAATAAGAGCGTATTTGGAGAAATAGAACTTAGTAGAAGGCCAGTACATTTATTTCAACAGGATCATCATCAAGCCTGAGGTGGAATCATATAGAACAGTGGTTCTCAACCTTCTGGCCCTTTAAATACAGTTCCTTATGTTGTGACCCAACCATAAAATTATTTTCGTTGCTACTTCATAACTGTAATGTTGCTACTGTTATGAATCGTAATGTAAATATCTGATATGCAGGATGGTCTTAGGCGACCCCTGTGAAAGGGTTGTTTGACCACCAAAGGGGTCGCGACCCACAGGTTGAGAACCGCTGATCTAGAAGAAGTGAAGGTCTACATAATTCCTTTAGAAGGAGGCTAAGCCTACCTTTTGGCTATTCTGATATCATCAAAGTAATCATTGGATTTTCCATTTTTGTCATGAAAAGCATCTTCTTCTTGGCAAACTATTTGCTTCTAGTGAATTAGTTAGAGTTACGGGTTACTCTGAATAAATTATAACCTGCAAGAGATACTAGTTGATAATTCATACTCTCCTGGGAAATATTGAAGGAAAGTGTCTACTGGCAATAATGTCACATTCCTTCTTATGGTTACATAACTTTAACTCTTAAAAGTTTTAATTTTTAGACTGTAAAGGATGTTTTTTTCAGAATGTGTATAGAAAATTACTTTTTAAAAGAAAAAAGTCATGCATGTAGGAAGAGGTGCGTCTGGCCATCCCTGCCCCAGAGCTGACTCCTTCAATTTGGTGGACAAACTGCTGGAGAAGAAGAGAAACCACCATGAAACCCCCGTTTCTTCCTCTAACTTTCTTTTCTTCCTTTTCTCTTGGCAGGAACTTTTTACCCCTGAATGCAAGTTTAAAGAATCTGTTTTTGAAAATTATTATGTAATCTACTCGTCCATGCTGTACAGACAACAAGAATCTGGTAGAGCCTGGTTTTTGGGTTTGAATAAAGAAGGGCAAGTTATGAAAGGAAACAGAGTAAAGAAAACGAAACCAGCAGCTCATTTTCTACCCAAGCCATTGGAAGGTGAGCGTTCTGTGTGTATTATACTTATCAGATTTAGTACACATTTATTCTTCACATTGATAGCTCTGCTCTGCTGTGGCCACAGGAACCCTCGGGAAATGCTCTTTATTTTGATTTGTATGGTGGTTGCACAGGTGTCTACTTAAGTTGTACATTTAAGAGTTGTACACTTTATTGTGTATAGGTATATCTGTGGCAGTATTTGTATATAGACACATGTATACACATTTTGAGAGAATGTATACACATATATAATCCATTAATTTAAAAAATTCCAGCAAAACTCCATCTCTGTCTACTTCTAAAGTCTCAAATCCTCACTGCCCTAACCTCTCTGTCCCTAGAAAATTTTAATTAACTTTAACATTTTAAAAATTTGTAATAACATTATAAATCTGTGACTGTGATAATAGGTATATTAGAAAAACTTAGTTTTGAGTATTACAGAATAAATACACGCCCATTTTTATGTTATCTAGATTAAAGTAAAACCATATTCTTGTGAATTATTATAAATACAGAAAATGAAGAGTTAATAACTTGTCCTTTAAAGAACTTATTGATTTACATATCTTCCTTCCAAGCTGCATAATTATTTAGTATTCTTAGTTGTGGTGTTACCTTCTTTTACAGTCTCCTATAAACAGTGAAGGCATTTAATTTTATCAGATTCTCAGAGTGCAAGCTATAAACATTTGTTAATTAATCAGAAATATCTGCACCTTTTTCATCAACGATTCTGCCAGAGTGTCATTTACTTTTATCTATATAAATTTATTTGAGAACTACAAAAAATTGATATCGAGGCTTTTCACAAGTGTTTTCTATTTAAATACTTTTGTTTACTTTTCACAGAAAATTAGATCTACAATAACTAAATAAACGTTTTAAACTAGTTTAGAAGGTTTGATTTTCTGTTTGTTTTTTTATTCCTACAGGAAAGCCTTAACTGTAAAGAAAAAATCCACATTAGTTTTATAATCTATATTCTTTACATAGGAATAAGATAATTTGAAATATTGAAAGTTAAATATTAATTATATGTCAATGTATAATTAGCTTTCAGTTTGCCTAAGTTTGGAAAACTACTCTTATTGATTAATACCATCTTTATAATTTCAATGATGTTGACTTCCTATCACCCTTAACTAAATTTGCCTAGAGAACAAGTCATTAAAACCCAAATGATTAACCAGCAGGGCCTATCTAGAAAAAGGAAAATTGTTCCAGAGTCTGAAAAATTAGTAAATTATTCTCATTACTAGTTTATGATAAATCATAAGATAAATTAGAGGATAAATAAGGAATTAGAGGGTTTCTCTGTTGTTCTAAAATAACATCTCTATATTTGCTTCAATCTTTTGTTTTTAAAATATTTTTATTGATTTCAGAGAGGAAAGGAGAAGGAGAGAGAGACAGAAACATTAATGATGAGAGAGAATCATTGATTGGCTGCCTCCTGCACGCCCCCCACTGGGGATGGGCCTGCAACCTGGGCTTGAGCCCTGATGGTGAATCAGACCATGACCTCCAGGTTCATAGGTCAAGTTCAACCACTGAGCCACACTGGTGGGTTTGCTTTACTCTTTTAAATGAATTTTGAAACCATCAGACTTACCAATATTTAAAAGCAAGTGAAAAATTTAAAGACTGTCAATGGAAGCTCTAAAGAAATTTTGATTTGTTCACTTCCTCACTTTGTTTCTTTATATTAACTTTTTTAATATGGACAGTTAAGAATTGACTAAATTTCTAAAAATTTGTTTCTTAGCTGCATAAATGTAATGAAAACCAAGAAAGTCCCTTATGTTTCTCTTACCTGAAGCAAACTCTAGAAATCAGATCTTTGGTATAACCAACAAGAAATATCTTGAGAGTCTAAAGGTGTGATATAATAATATCACTTGTATTTCAATCACACACTGAACTGTTTTGTGTGCATGTGTTGTTTATATGTATATATAAGGAAGAGAGAAACAGTATTTTTAAATAATTAGCAGATAGAAGTACTCTAAAATAAACAATTAAGGGTGTATTGGAGTGACAGAGGTTATCACATAGTGCAATTGACAGAGGAAATTAATTTCAAGCTTTCAAGACCCATACAGCATATAAATTATATCATTGGAATGTTAGGACAAATTAGCTACTTAATTAATCATTACTGCTCTGGGACATTCATATCTCTTATACAGTTTCATGCTAGACAATCAAGGTTAATGCTCTGATGCTGTTGTCTCCTAACTGAATTGGTAAGCAGTTGAAAAGTGCTTCAAGGACTGTGGATGAATCCCTTTTACCACCTTGCCAAGTCATCTATATCATAAAGAGCCAGTTTTGTAATGACCGATTACCACCAAAGGCTCGACCAGACCGGAAGTGAGTGCTGGGTTGCCTGGTGACCCAGCACTGACTGCAGCCACTGTGGGCACCACGACCCAGCACTGACTGCCTAGGGGGCTGCGGATCAGGCCCAGAGAGAGGCCTGCAGAGAGAGAGGCAGGGTCTGATCCGTAGCCTCTGTGGCAGCCCTTGATCAGAACTTGCCTCTCTTTCTCTCCCAGCCTGGCCAACAGCCACGTCTCCATTTCTCTCCAGGCCTCCACCAGGGCTGCTGATCAGCCCCGCCTTTCTGATCAGGCCCCATTGATAGGCTGAGAGACGCTGACTGGCATAGAAACCGACCAATCAGAACCAAATCTGGGTCAACTGTGAGGAGCCAATGGCTGCCTAGGAGGCGGAGCTTTTGACACTGACTGCCATAGAAACTGACCAATCAGAACCAAATTGGCCGGCAGAGGAGGGCAGTTGGGGGGGAGATCATGCCTGCAGGGGAGAGCAGTTGGGAGTGAGATCAAGCCCGCAGGGGAGGGCAGTTAGGGGTGATCAGGCAGGCAGAGGCATTTAAGGGTGATCAGGCCGGCAGGGGAGAGCAGTTGGTGGCGAGATCAGATTGGCAGGGGAGGGCAGTTAGGGGTGATTAGGCCGGCACGGGAGGGCAGTTGGGGGCAACCAGGCTGGCAGGGGAGGGCAGTTAGGGGTGATCAGGCAGGCAGGCAGAGGCAGTTGGGGGTGAGGTCAGGCTGGCAGGGGAGAACAGTTGGGGGCTCAATCAGGCCGGCAGGGGAGGGCAGTTAGGGGCAATCAGGCAGGCAGGCAGAAGCAGTTAGGGGTGATCAGGCAGGCAGGCAGAGAGGTTATGGTGATCAGGCAGGCAGGCAGAGGGGTTAGGGGCAATCAGGCAGGCAGGCAGGTGAGTGGTTAGGAGCCAGCAGTCCCAGATTGTGAGAGGGATCGGGCCTAAACCGGCAGTCGGACATCCCCCAAAGGGCCCCCAATTGGAGTGGGTGCAGGCTGGGCTGAGGGAACTCCCCCTCCGTGCACGAATTTCATGCACCGGGCCTCTAGTTTAACACATTGTATACGGGAAACGTATTTATACATTTTACGTTGACTGGTAAACACAATTTCCAGTGAGTTTTCCAGTATTTGTCTGTTTAAAATTTAAGAAAAATAATTCAGTATACATTTTATAGTAAATCACAAAAAGTTTCATTGAAAAAAAATATGTAAAACTAAAGTTATCGTAATTTTACTGAACGTTGCCATTTGCGCAAAAAATTAGCAAAAACGCCCCGCATACAATGTGTTAATATAGGTCTGATGTACACAAGCACTTTCAAATATGTGTGCTACTAAAAAAATCACATGATTTATTGATGCAAAAGGTAAAATTTTACCACCTTGAACATGGAGAATATATGTAGTAGTTCTTCCTAACTAAACATAAGGTCTCTTCATAAAGTACAGTAAGACCACACTTAATGTTATCTATAAGTTCTTGGAAACTGAAATTTTAAGCAAAACAGCGTTTAATGAAACTAATTTAAGATAATCGGTATAAACAAAAGTTCCCACTGCATATTTCTGGTCACAAAAATATCACCAAACTTCTAAATAAAGACCCATTACACTTTTAAGATTAAACAATGAAATAAATGTGAGCTATACATACATTTAAGAAAGATGGATAAAAACAAGAAAATTCTTTTCCAACCCACTTATTCCAGTTCAGGGTCAAGGATGGCGGAGCCTATCCCTGCAGCTCAGTGCCCAAGTTGGGACCCACCCCTTCATCACAGGAGTCCTCACACCCACCTCCACTCCCTCAGACTGGGACTGTGTAGCCACCCCAGCCCACCTCATGATGTGCACATCTTTGGGATGCAGGAGGAACCGGGGTCCCCGGAGAAAGCCCACACAGACATGGGGAGAATGTGCACACTCCACACAGATAGTAGCCCCAGCTGGGAATCAGTTTTTTCCCATCAACATTATAATGAAATGAACTGGAACCAAATTACATTATTCTAGGATCTGCTGCATCATAAACTTTCAAAAGCCGAAAAAAGCAGGTTGGGCGGATCTAATACACTGTGTTTCTGATGGCAGATGATTTTAACTCACCTATTTTCCCCAAGAATCAGTCGCTCTTGAATGTTTTCCCCCAGGATTCCTGATAATCATTTTCCAAAAAGCCACATGAACTCTTGCGATTAACTGTGTGGCCAGACACTATTCGGGCAATTTCTCAGAGCTTACCAGATGTCAGTCCCACTTGCTCTCTTACCATTTTGTGCTTCTGCCTTGTATGACATCACTTATTAGATGTTTAATAATATATCAGAAAAGGAGGCATAAAAATAGAAAATGCCACACAATTGCCTTCAGTTATTAAAGGGTCTCTTCATTAACCTGGGGGAGAAAATATAAACAATGACCTTTGAAGGCCCTGATTAGGGAAAGCAAGTTCTTTGTTATTGCTTTGTATAGCTTGGATGTTGACACTAGTGTGACTATGTTGCTTTTGAGCCACTTGAGAGAAAAGTAATTTAATGATCTAGGGTGTAAATACTTGACAAGATGAATAAGAATGAGTGGTTCAAGTGTTGACAGTGTGCAGTGTGGGGGAAGTTTGAGTTTTCCTTGCTATGCAAAGAGAATTAGATTTAAGCTTGCCATTCTCCTACTGTACATCCTGTGTGTGTGTGTGTGTGTGTGTTTCATATCTTAGTCCCTCAAAGAGGCTGTGTCTCCCATTTAAACCTTCTTTCCTGGACAAACATCCATGCACACCTGTGTACATGTTTTAGTTATATAAGCCAGAGAATGTGAAGGTAGTAATATCTTCTATTTGGGGGCGGGAAATGACTGCTTTAAAACAGGTATCCCTCCCACTGGCATTGCTTTGCTGCAGGGAAACAGGACAGGGCAAACTGCTGCGGTGTGTGCGTGTACTGATTCTTGAACTGAACTTGGTAACATTTCCTTTCCCTCTTTTCTTCGTGCCCTCCTTCCTGTCACTAGTTGCCATGTACCGAGAACCGTCTTTGCATGACGTTGGAGAAACGGTCCCGAAAGCTGGGGTGACGCCAAGTAAAAGCACAAGTGCGTCTGCAATAATGAATGGAGGCAAACCAGTCAACAAAAGTAAGACGACATAGCCAGATCCTCACAGGTGTTGTGACTTACTGGTCCCGAGCACAGCTGAGCGATGTATCCTTGCCAGACATTTCTGCTCCCGTGGCTGAGGAGCAGCTGGAAGTAAGCGGATGCTTGCTCTCTGCTGTCTCGAACTTCTTGGTTGCAAGAGGATCAATCTCAACCTGTTGCGCCTCCCACAACAAGAAGACACCTGGACAACCAGCTAAACTCAGACCATGGAATGCCCTACCAGATATGGAATGCCTTTTTAATATCTTTTCTGTGACTGTGACACTTCATGTGAATGACATACTTCACAAGTACACTCAATACCTTGCCTGCTGACAGCTACCCATAATCCTTTTTGAGTCCTGTTTCAGCAACATCCATGTGTTTAAGTTCACTTTTGTAGCACACAAATACGATTGAGTAATTTCTAGGTAGAAGCTGTAAACCTGTGCTATTATGGATTTCTCTCCTTCCCGTTTTTACAGGGCTGCTCGCTCCACTGTCCGTGACCTTTTGCAGGGACTGTGCTCCTCCAAATCTTACATGTTGCAGTTGGCTTAGTTCGGAGAGCGATCAGGGAATCAGGAAGCCTTCTAAACCTATTATTACAAAACGCATCATAAAGATTAAGAGTGTTGTCTCTGGCTCACACTATCAATTAAACACACATATACGCTCCGTTCAGTGGCAGGTACTGTGCTCCTGAGGTCGGCGTTGCCGGGGTGAGAAGTGGGTCAAACACAGTCCGTGGGAAGTTCTCTCCGATATGTGTTTGACACCCCCCTCTAGTTTCTTTGTGTGTGTGTGTGTGTGTGTGTTTTATACATATCACAAGCTTACTGGTAATGGTAACATTTGCCTTGCCCAGCGAGCAAGACCCACTGGTTTTTGAGAAAGTGGGTCCAAAGAACTCTGTAGGCCTTGTAGGCCTGATTAAGGTTCATTTTTTTTTTCATCTACTAATCCTCATTATTTGGAAAAAGAGAAAAAAAAACCCACAACAATTACAACCTACAAGAGTGCGCTACCTAAATCCATTTCAGATATAATCCTTCCTATTTTTAATGAACCGAACTTATTGCCATCCCGGGTTTTGGCTGCATTCCACTCATACTCAGCAGAGCATGGGCAAGGCGGCTGTTGTGTTCTTTTCTGAAGCAGCAAAGCAAACCTTAGTTATAACTTAGACTTTAATATTTTTGGTGTTTAATGACAAGTTTTTAAACTGGACACATTAGGAAATAATATTTTTTTTAGCTCAGCATGCTGAGTCAGGTACTGTGTATTTCACCAGTCCATACCTCCAACTCCACTTCTTGGGGCCCCAGTTGCCCAAGGGCCGGGAGGGAGGTGCCTTGCCACGATCTCAGAATGCAGTCTGTTGAATTGTTCTAGATCACACTAAAGGCAAACCAACACGTTCAAACATCAGGTTTTCGGTCCGTTCAACCAATTTGCTTTTGTTTTATTCGCTTTCTTAATTTCCTTTTAAGTAACTCTGAGCTTAGGGAAGACAACTACCAAGAAAGGCCGCGAATATTGACTACACAGTGAAGAAACTACGCAAAATGTTCAATATTGGATATAAAGAGTTTCAAAATGTTTAATACTAAACTGTTTGGAAATATATTTGTTAACTCTGTGTATAGTTAATAAAATTCAATGTTTTGTTCTTGGAAGAGTTAATTGAGACCAAACTGAACCTCATTTATAGAAAACTATATGTGGGATCATTATCCTGGCCTCTTGTTATTATTTCCATGGGGGAGGATGACCCAGTCGCCATTTACCCACATTTGCACTGTATTTACTGGGAAATTATTTTGTCACTGCTTTTCTAAGTCTCCATGACAGCCCTTGCCCAGCATTTTAAAATATTGTCCTGCTTAGCTTATTAAAGGTTTAGTATAAATTTAACTGTTTATGCTTATTTCATTTTCATATCGGATTCCATTTTAATAAAATAAAAAGTTAGCATAATGTTTGAGTAGATTTATTGTTGATTATGCTAAAGTACAAATACCAAAAAAAAATGGTTCCTTAGACCATTCTTGATTTCTTGTTATACCATTTTAATGCCTATTTTTTTAACAGGATAAGTTAAAAGATATTAGATGAATTTCATTAACTAATTATTTAGGGAATACATATAATTCATAACATGTGGCAAACTATGTATAATTTAACTTGAAATTCCAATTAGATGGGCTTACCCTACCCCACCCCACCGCAACACACACATCAAGCAACCCCACCAATTTGCTTTTGGTAATCAGACCTCATTTGATGGTTTCGTTTCCCCGGCAAGCCTGTGTAACGGTTAAAATTAAGACAATATTTATTTTCTAAGTAACTGAGATTTATGTACATACCGGTTTTGTTTTTTATATGAGTTGTCTATATGGGCCTTTATCCCTATGAATGGATGTCAAAATACTTTCTTCCAAAATATGTTTAGACATATTGCAGGGGGGTCTTTGTTATTTGTAAATTAGTCTGATCACTTCCTTTGTGTCTGGTCTCATCCGTTGCACGGACAAGGGCAGCACGGATGGACTGCATGTAATAGGGCCTGGATATCAAGAACTGTTAGTATGTATTTCTCAATTTACATACAGAGAGTGTGTCTGCTTTGTACAGTTTCTGTGTTTAATATCATTTGTTATATTCACCAATACAACACACTGAATAAAATATTTATAGGAAGGCATATTATAAAACATCAAACAACTTTATGTCATGAAATGGCATTGCATCACCCACAAATATAGACATGTCATGTAAATAAGTTGGTAAACTCAATTTCCCCCTTTATTGTGCCAAAGAAAATTTTAGCTCTTTGATGATACCTCTCTCGCTATTTTTTTCTGGGATAAGACCCTCTTCTTCCCCCTCAAAATCAAGTTTGATGTTATTAAGTAAGTGCAATCTGTCACCATTGATGTTCTGTGTAGTAAATCTGATGGAATTCATTTGTAGAGACTGTGTGTTTTGTACCTACATGTATGTATGTTGATTGTATCAAGTCTAATATCTCATCCATTTGCATGCATATCTGGTGTGGGAGGGTTATTTCTACTGATTTGTTATGTTAGCTGATTGCTTCACCCATCCCTCAGCAATGCTTAATGTTTAATGGTTTTGGTATTTCAAGTGACACCATTTTTATTTTCTTATGTTTGCTTTCTAAAATGTTTTGCTAAAACTTTACTTGGGAAAATTATAGAATAGATGCAAATGGTCCACCCTCTGTAGAGAGTAAGTTGAAACTAAGCATTATTTCATTATAAATCCTAGAGAATTTAGAAATTCTTGCTTTAAATGTTAGGTTGCACTGAGTGTTTTGGGGAAGGGGGTGACTTCAGGAGACCTACAATGGGCCCATAAAATTCCTGCCACAGTCCTTCTAATTGCCTCTTTTTTCTAAATTTTTTTTATTGATTTCAGACACGAAGGGAGAGGGAGAGACAAAAACATTAATGATGAGAGAGAATCACCGATCTGGTGCCTCCCCTACACGCCCCACACTGGAGATTGAGCCCACAACCGAGGCACATGCCCCGACCAGGAATCAAACCACAACCTCCCGGTTCACAGGTCAACACCCAACCTCTGAGCCACACTGGCCTGGCCTAATTGCCTCTTGAAGAGTAAGCACAGTTTATCACATCTGGCTAGTTGCTTAATTAGTACCTAAAGCACTAAAACAGTCAGATGTTTTCAGGATGACCAATATCAGATTAGGTTCTCTTTAAAAAACAAAACAAAACATGTTAAATATGTATCAAACATTAGATATGTATCACTTCATTTACAGTTTTCTCCTAAATATTAAATTGGAGAATTAACATTTCAAGGGGAGTCAGGTTGATTCAAACTCTAATTTAGAAGTGAAATATTTGAAATTTATTTTTAATTTTATTTCAGAACAAGACTATATCTGGAGAAAGCAATTCAGCTAAATGTAGGCATATCAAAATCCAGATGTGAATTGGGTTACTTTGGAGAAAATACATTTCATCGCTTAAGTTCCTTAGCTTACAAGGTGGTACATAGAACCTGTTGATGCTTGAATACTGAACTGGGTTTCAAAGTTTTGATAGAGTCTGAAAACAAAGGCTGAATTATGGTTTTTTCCTGGTTTTGCTATACTATTCAGTCTAATCCTGATGTCTTCTGGCAGAGACTGCATTTGCATCTGGGATGGTGTGGTCATTTCTTTCAATGTGTTGAAGGAATCTAAATTAGCTCAAGGAGTCCTGGGAGAAATGGGGTATAATGATTCTCTTTTTAGGTCTTAGGACCTTAGTCGAATTCTATGTAGAAGTCCCTCTTAGGAGGATTCCTCAGTGATGGTTTGCAAAGCAAGCAAGGTTGTGGCCAACATCACTTATTATATCGTTCTCAATTCACATTAATCTCACTGTAACTTGGGACAAACTTGAACCGGCCAATGAGATTGGCACATTTTCCCTCCTCCTATTACAAATTTGCTCTTGCCTTGGCATTTTTTAAAGAGGGAGTTTCTATCTTAGTAATGGAATCAAAAGTCAAAGTACAAAATCACATTTAAGAAGGGTAGAATGTAGGTCTTTATATGTGACTATGTTTAACTTTTTCCGATTTAAACATATAAATTAAATTCTTAATAGATCTATTGATGTTTGCAAGCTGGAGTCAACATCACACATACACACACACACAGGAGAAATATGAAAATTTTCGTTCAATAATTTGTAACTAAAGAAACCCAGAATATAGCTGACTGCAATATATTTTCATTGTCAAAAATTTTGAACAAATCCCATTCTGAGCTTTATAATTAACATTTCTCCATATCTAAACTTTTTCTTTAAAAACATAAATGCTGAGAACTCTTTTCTTATATTAAATTTTTAAAAGAGAAACACTTTTGCTGTAGTTGTTAATGAAAAGGGATAACAAATATAGATAATTACAAGAAAAATAAGCCACACCTGGAGTTATGTGAGGAAACAGGAAATTAACGGCAGTTCCATCAAAGCACAGGTTGATCATTTATTCCTCAGCTGTGAGCCAAACCCAGCTTGCAATTGGCTTTTATATGGCGCAGGAGCTCAGAATGAGTTTTTTTTCTTTATACTGTTTTAAACACAAACAACAGAGTATATGCGAAAGAGATGTATGTGGCCCACAAAGTCTACAATGTTTACTATCTGGTCCTTTCCACCGAAAGCAGAGCTCCGCAGTAAGGACTATGGATGTCACTGTGCCGTGATAATGTAGTGAATGCCCATGGGTCCATCATCAAATCAGCCATCATTGAAATTGCTACTGAACAGTTAAAATAGGTTTGTTTGAGGCTTAAAATGTTTAGAGAAGAGGAAAGGATATTATATATATATATGCATATCTATAGATGTATAGATATCTATCTATATATCTATAATTTCTTAATTGCTTACATTTCCCTCATTTACAAAACTGATATTTCAGTTGATGCACTGAACAACTGAGATACAACTGGTGTGGTTGCACTCCTTAATCTCAGGATAGAGATAACAATTTTATAAATCTGTTAAAGTCAGAGAACACTGTCAGTATTCTAAAAATCAGCATCAATTAAATTTATCTTAAATAATTTTTAATGTAAATTTTAAGTAACCCTGCAGGTACACATTTTCCTCACTTTTGGTGGTTTGATTTATAAAGTCCAAACCATGAGTCTAGAATATTTACATCATTAAGTAAAATGTCCAAGTAAAATTTTTCATCTTAAACAATAATAAAATGATTTTATTACATTATTGCAGGATTTTACAAAATATAATCCACATTAAATAAAAAGTGGGTCTTTTTTAGCTCTAAATAATTAAAGGTTGCCTAAACTAATGGGTATAAGTAGACTTGATTGCAAATATGTAAGGGAAGTCCAAGTTATTGTACATTTTCATAATTTGATGTGAATTTCATACAGAGCGAAATTTCACCATTATGAAAATAAACATTTTGTTCCTATCACTGAGTGAATATTTGTAACTTCTATTTAAGCCATTTATAGATTTTTCTTTTCATCTTCTGAGCTTGTGGGACTGGTACCATTTTATCGCAATGTCTCTTCTTGACTTCCATGTACGGCCCTACTTTTCCAGTGAGAAATGTATCCTTAGAAATAATAGAGTCTTTTAAGAGAAATGAATGCATATATCAGCCCATCATAGACCTAACTAGATACTGTCTTTTTAAAAGGTAAGTTACCATGGAGTAACTTCTAGGGAAAATCAGATTCCTTGTACATGTAACCCATGTCCAGTTTAAAACATGCTCTAGTCACAGAAAAATGGATGCTCTTGAACAGCAATTCACTCTTTTGTTAGTCAGTCCTCAGTTGGTAAAATACATATTGACACAGAGTGTAAACAACTTATGTCACTATTTATTAAAAATGTTAAATTGTACATTTTCCATAATTTCTTCCTTCATCTTAAGAGAACTTCTTTTGTGAGTTTAAAGTGAGACTAGACAAATGACTTAATGACTAAAAGCATTGGTGATCTGGCCTCTGCCCCCCTCCACCCCCACCCCAATCCAACATTGTACTTCAAGTGTGTTTGCCTTCATTTCCATATGGAAACACTGAGTGATGGGAAATCCTGGCAACATATGATCAATGGATTTATGTAAGGCTCTTTTTCTTCGAGTTTAAAATGGCCTTTCTTGTGTAGGGATGTGCATTTTTAACAACCATGTAATTCAGCTTTCCTCAACTCGCAACTAATGACATCTGAAGTCAGAAAATTCTTCATCGTTGGGATTGTCCTGTGCACTGTTGGGTGTTTAGCCGTATCCCTGACCTCTACCCACTAGACGCCTGAAGAGCACCCTCCAACCCCACCCAGTGTGACCATCAGAATTGTCTGTAGACATTGCCAGATGTTTTCTGGGTGGCAAAGTCACCCTTGTTGAGAACCACTGATGTAAATTGTAGGAGAAAAATTTCTTTTCTGGTGTTATTTACATCTGAGTTTGCTTAACTCATTTTTAATGGGTATCCAGATTTCATCCGGGCTTTCAGAAATAGAAAAACATACAACAGTCTGTTGGACCTGTCCTCGTGGTGATTATACATGGCTTCCTCTGCATTTATATTTCTAATGGCCTAGACAAAGAAGAACCCAGTCGTCTCTCATTGTTAAGGGTATTCTGTGCCAAGCCAGATTTCACATGCGTTTCCGTTCCATCCATCCCAGCACTCACAGTTTCCACAGCTGCATATTCCATTCCCTGCAGTAAAACACACAGGAGATTCATTATTATGATTGAAATATACCAAGCTAATATATGTTATTATAAAACATAACTGTTCCTAATCAAAGCAATTTCATTCATCCTCTGAAAACTTTCTTATTGTGCAGCCATCTTATTATTATCTTATTACGCAGCTATAGGAAATCTGACCTTTTAAACAATTAATGGCACCTCCTTGGTGCTACCATCCTGTTAGTATCAATCTAATAATGACCATCAGTATCACTCCAGCTGGGCTTCCATGAATAATTTTGTTTTTCTGTAGAGAGCAGGTTATGTGTAACAATCAATGCTAACGAACATACAGCTCCTTGACATAGGATGAGGTAGGTGAATAATTAGCTAGAAGAGGAGCCTTGTGTAGTAGGAGTGGGCAGAACGTGAATGTCTAACTTAATGACACACACATACTCATCTTTTACCTTTAGTTAAAAACAAGGAGAATAAATATATGCCTCTATCTCCCCTATACATTGTTTAAGAAAATATTTTAATTACCAATTATTAGGACTCAGAAACTCAGGATAGCAGTATCTATTATATTCCTAAATTGTTTTCCTATTCCCATCCCCCCAACACACACATATTCCATTCCCTAAAAACAAACTAACGCATCAAACAGCTTTGGTGCCTGGGTCCTGTTTAAAATATATTCTAGTCCCTACACCATGTTAAAAGTGCAATAGTTGTCAAGAGAATTATGTTCTTTTTGCAATATATAAAACTGCATATGTGTAAATTGGGGGAAGTTACTTTATATGGAATTTTCCTCCAAATCATATAATTTGGGTGCATTCTTTTATGCCTGGGAATGAAGTAAGTGCTTATTCTGAAATGCCCACCTCCCTTTATATACTTTACATTACTATTTGGCCCTTCAGTACATGAAAGCTCTTCTGCCCAGTGGCCCACAGCAAAATGTGCTGAGTGCCATTCACCTGTATTGCAAAATGTGGCATAGATCAATTAGAGTGGGTCAGTACTGCACCTGTGCAAATGAGACCATCATGTTTGTCGCAGTCCCTGTCATCACAGTCGCAGAATTCCCCTGAAATGTACCATTCTTCAGCAGAACAAATGCACTTTCCACAGTGACAAGAACCTGAAATCACAAAGGGTATTATTGATCATTACCACACAACTAAAGGTTTCTGTCTAGAGTAGAATACTATCAATGTACTGGCAATCAGCTTCTAATAACCAACCTTCCAAAGGTAAAAATTTATGGAATAGCCAGTGGCTTAAAAGGGAGCGTTACTTACTGTAATTCATAAAGGTTATCCTGAAAGGCTTCATTATGGATCTAGACGGTTGCAATTAGCCTTGAGCAAATGTTCCATGGCTCAGTCTGGTTGAAATGTCAATGAGGGTGGAATGTGGCTGATTTTTATAGATGGCCTTCTAAAAAGGTGTTCAAAATATATGCGCTTTTAAAATTTTTTTTTCTGAATTGAATCATGTTTTCAAAGTGTCTGTCTTTTAAAGGAATTGAATAGTAAGTTCTCTTAAATGAGGGTGCAATTTATAATTAAAACAACTACTAAATTTATTGTGCTTATAATTTTGGATTTTTGTTTACATGATTTTCTTAAAGCAAGGACTCACCTGCCTACCGGGTGGCTCATTAAAGTGCTAAAAATACACATACACTCACTCATGTATATTTACCTTACCCAGTTTCACCCTTGGGATTCCCTGCCATCATCCAGGAGAGCTCTAATCCCTCGCCTCAAATGTCCATCTTTTATGAGGCTCTTGATCCAACCACCTTTTCTATTACTTCACTCATTTCCTCTCTTTTTACTTCCTACCTAATTCAAAACTTCCTTTTTGGTTATTAAAGATATTTTGGCTTGCCGAGGAACATTTTTATTAATGGCACATTTAGAAAAGAAAATATAGGAATTAAATAGTGTCAGAGAAGATATTTCCCTCAGCCTAAACATCTTCACGTGGCAAAATTACTTCTACAATAGCAGTAAAGAAAGTTTTCAAGTTAAAAATAAACGCAAAGAATAGCCTTCTGCTTCCTTCTATTTCCTTGGATTGATTGTTCTTTCTAGATGTGATTTCCTTTTACCAAAGATGCCTATCACCTTAAACGACTGTGAAGTAGAAAAATTATTTTGACATATTCTATGAAATAACAGACTTGATAAATTCAAAATATATTGGGAGGGGGCAGAAATCAATCATTAGTGTCTCTATGAAACAGTGCAATTAAAAAATGGTTAGAGAAAGAAACTTTTGTGCATTACTGCTATCATGAAAGGATGCACATAAAGGTGTCCCAGGCATTAAGCACCCCATGCTATTTTATATTATGGAAACTCATATATGCATTTTAGCTGCAAGAATCCCCAATGGCCAAATTAAACTTTTGATATTCCTTGTCACACTTCTCAGGGTAAGGGAGCAGTCAGAATTAGTTACATGCTGAGAACTGTGTTTACATTTATTAACTTCTTACTTAACCGCAGCATGGTTCCATTTACTTGTTTTACTGAGGGGCGAGGTTGCAAAATAGACAACTTTCCGTTCTAATGAGTGATCAGTACCCTACTGGCTGTGTAGGGCCTGTAACTGGGCCTCCCAGGCCAGTCTGTGAGAGTTGGTCATCTCACCCAGGTACAGCGTTTCTTTATTTAGAAATTTATTTATTCTAATTTTAAATACTTTCTGTCAAATCTCTAGGCACAGAAATGTTCAACAGTCATCTGTGCATTTTGCAAATGGATAGAGCAATATTGGAAAACTATGAAAACGGGGCATTTTAATGACTTCATTAACAAATCCTCAGAAGGTATCATATTTAGTGCTTTTTGAGTGGAGGAAGATTATTTGAAGAATTCCACTGTTTTTGTTTTTAAAATACTATCTCCCTTATATTTCAAACTTGTTTCTACAACACATGGAGATGTAAATGACTTTATATGTCCATGATATTTATGTATTACTCCTAGATATAATTTTTTGCCACAATTCATGAAAAAAAATCACATTTCATCTTTAAACTTGTCTCCTGACTCTAGAACTATTCTGATCACTGTTCTCACTTCCAATGCTTAGCTTCAGGCCATTGTATAGTATTTCCCTAAAACTGGTCAGCTCAGCTAAAGTGAATATGGTATACATTGCTAGACCATTTGACAAGTAAATTGCATTTTCAGAAGTCTGCTAGTCACTGAAATACTTAGAATGAAAAATGGGGGTTGATTTTTGTATGTGCTATGAAAAACTAGCTTCTCTCATCAGCGTTTTCCCCAGCTGGGTTGTTTTTTCCTGTTTGTGAATTCTCAGTGCATCTCAGAGGTAGGAAACTCTTCTACTGCTTGTGAAACTAGAAGTAGTATGGCATGTCATACTAACACAGCGTGGTCATTATTAGGATGTTTTATAGCGCCTTTGTTATAGAGCAACCTGGCTGTTTTCATCAATAAGCAGGGGTCAAATTGCCCTACTCTGGAAAGGGAAAGTCCTAGGAAAAGGATTCTGTCAAAGATATAAGCCACATGGCTGCCAGGAGGTGACTGATTATTTAGCTCAGCTGGACCGGCACCCACTCGTGTCCATGAGACTCTGTCCAGCCTTAGGGAGAAGCTGGTCCATCTTGGTAGGAAGATGGTGGTAAATTCCTGACCACGGCACCACTAATCCATTTATTTTCTTTCTCAGTATGAGGACTGTTAAGAATGCTTCCATCTCCCTTCTGTACTTTTTTAGTGGCTTCCATTCCTTGGGGATTCAGCCACATTTTCTCATTTGTCTTCAGAGCATCCTTAGAACTTAAGAAAGGGAAAGAAATGAAATTCTTCTGCCTTCAAAGATGAGAAAATGGACATACAGGGAGGATAATGGAATTGCCCAGGGCCATGGGGGCAAAAAAAGATTTCCATCTGATTCCATCTACTGTTTTATCTACCGATCTGCCTATCTGTGATGCCTCTCACAAGAAAAACCTTCATATAGTTTCAAAAAATGAGTTGTGTATTCCCACTGACAGTTATATTGGGTGAGGCAACTAAAACACAGGTCCAAGTCTGGTTTTTGAAGCCTAACTTTTACCCTGTCTCTTTTCAGGGATGAAGAATCTGCCAGGATGGGGTATAGGTGAGGGATAGGTGAGTGGGTGGGTGTGTACCATGGCCTTATTCAGATGATGTGGGACTCAACAGTGTCATTGTAAGGGTTCTAAGGAGACATTTAGTGACATGCAATTACAGCCATCGTCAGACAACATCTTTAAGAATATTAGAGGTGATGACCCGGACGGAGAAAGGTGATTATGTACTCTTGGATACACATAAATACTCCAGCAAACAAACAGCCGACGAATTACAGCATGGATTCTGCAAAGGGAGTTAAACCTGGCTCTAAGCTCATCTCTCTGGTGATTCACATGAACAGCTTGAGTGTAAGGGCGAGCACCCTTGTCAGCTGCCCCATTTCAAAGCAGACTTTCTTTTCCATTCATCAAGCCTGACAAAATGCTGCAACCAACATCCCTGCAGGCAGTTTTCACTATTGTACTCACAACTCCATCTGTTATGAAGGTCACAGCAATGTATCTAGTTTTAAATTTTTCTATGGAGTGATTTATTGTCTTGGCTATAAATTTGTAAAGAAATAAAACGCTATTTCTTCATCATCTCCTGAGGCGACGGCTTTATTCACAGATCATGAGGAGCGCCTGGTGGCAACAGTTGGGTCCAGGCTACCAGGTGGTGACCTCAGGCCCACTGCTCCTCCCTGTCCCCTAGTCGGAGAAAGAAAAACACTCCAACGTCCTTTGTGAAGATCAGGGTGAGGGGTTTTCATTTACCATGTTGAGGGAAAGTATATGGAATTCTGGCAAGTCCATGAAACCTATTAAAAAATACCCGGCCCCAGTCAAATAACTTGGAATAGGTTTCTCTGCTACCATGTCACAACCTGTGGTCCATTTTGTGAGTTACTCTTTCTGTGGTTCTCTTTTTGTTCTGTTAATTCTCACCCAAGGATTGATTTTCGAAGAGAGTGGAAGGGAGGGGAAGAGAGAGAGAAAAAGCATTGATGTGAAAGAGACATATCAACTGGTTGCCTCCTGCAAGTGCCCCGCCCTACTGTAATGACTTTAATGAGAATGTTTATTTCTTGAAAACAAACTACTCCTCTTCTTTGCATGAAATTCAGCTAGGAAATGACAGAATGGTATTCACCACACAGGTGAGCATGGCTGTGTGTATGTGTTCTCCTCCTGTACCTGCAATTGGACATGACTAGCAAAGACCCACTTATGAACAATGTTAGTGATTTTATAGTGTCTAGGACACACACACACACACACACACACACACACACAGTGGCTGATTTTTAAAATAAACAAGCACACCAATGTTCTAATACAAAAGTTCCATTTAGTAGAGTTTCTCAGAAAAGCTAATAGCCTTATTCCAAGGATAATGCCGTCACAAAAACCAACAACAACAAAAGTATCTAAACGCTAGGGCTCTGTGTTTGAAGCTATACTCAGGGAAAAAAAATAACTCTAATTCAAACAAATTAATCATTCTGAGTACTTTTTTATACACAGGACACTCCCTTCTGACCTGATAACATTTCTTTTTCCTCCCCAGCTTCCACCTTGATAGTTAATTCTATTCCTACCACCTTTACTGTTCTCTTTGTTAATCTCTTCCTCGGCAATCCCTTCCCTCTGTCTCTTCCTTTCAACCTTTCCTTCCTCCTCCCAACAGAGCTTCTTTTTTCTTTTAAAAAGATTTTTTAAGTGAATTTTAGAGAGAGAGGTAGGGAGAGGGAGAGAGAGAAAGAAACAGCGATATGAGAGCAAGACTTCCTACCTGGGATGGAGCCCAAAACCCGGGCATGTGCCCCGATTGGGAATCAAACTGGCAAACTTTCAGAGCACAAGAGGATGCCCACCCAACTGAGCCAAGCCTGCCAGGGCCAACAGAACTCCTTGAACCTAAAGCAAGTGTATCCAGGACCTGAGGGCCCCTGAGAACTGAAATGCTGAGATTTGCTTAGGACTTGGAATTAGCATGAATTCCATACGAGAACAAACGGGGAACAAAGTGATTGCTTTACATGCATTTAAGTGCTGCTTGGCTGCTGTGACTGCATTAGGTGGAAGGCATGGCCTCCTTGCCAGAACTCTGTAAACACCAGTCTCAAACACAGAATTCCTGGAAACCAAGGACATGCTCGGCTATTAAAATGAACATGTTTGTATCCATTCTCAGCCTTCCTCCTGGCACCAAATGTGGTCACAGCCTCCATCTGAGTTTATTTTTTGCAATTACGTCAAGAGGCCTCTTTCATCCGGAGAGCATTGGCCTTGAGTGATCATCGGTGAGCGACAGCCACTGTTGAGGGGCACATCCCTGAGGCGAGTTCTGCTTCTGAGGCCTCCTCAGCAGATTGACTTGGCTTCACGGTGTTTTCTTCAGAAAGACATTTACCTGCACTCCTGACCCAGGGTAGGTGTTGGAGGGTAGATGTAGCTTCAGCTATAAAAGTCTGAAAAGGGGGGTGGTTTGTTCTGCAAGGAGGCAGCTGAGCGGAAGAGGAGAGCGGGAGATGGACATTCAGTTCCAGGCAGGGCAGCTCCCTAACATTTGGTGAGAATCCCATGAGCTTCCAGAGCGTTTTATGCAGACCCGCGCGGGCTCTGCTATTTCACAGTGAACTCAATGATTGTACCTCTACCTTCTGGGGCCCATTCAGGTCCCAGCATATCTTACTGTTCTTTCTTCTTTATACAATTATTAATTGCATTTCATTCACAAGGAGGTTGTCTACAAGTGGCTGAGGATCTTTTCACATGCAACCCATCTCATGCATTCCATTTCCTTGGATACTACACTTCACGTGGTTCACTTTCACACTTAATAAGGTCCGGTACAAGCGGGGGACAGAGTGATTTTCATTCAGGCCAAGTGCGGTCTGAAAGGGGTGTTTGCCGCGGGCTGCTGTACAAGCCATGTGTCCCAGCAGGGATCCAGGCCAGGCTCCGGCAGAGACTCACCCTTTCCGGAGCACAGTCTGCCATCTGCTGATTCACACAGACTCTTGCTCAGTTCCTCCGTCATGTTGCACTTCCTGGGGTGTTGGCAGAGCTTTCCGAACCATCCTCTCTCGCACACGCAGCGGCCACAGGAACACGTGCCGTGGCCTGAGAAGCAATCACAGGGCGGGGAGAGAGGAGGAGATGGTAAATATCCGGCTGATTGCAGTGTTTAAGGAAGAAATATGTAAACAACAGGCTCTAGTTTCCTATGCAGCAAACACACTTTCCCTTTATGCACAGTCACTGGGCGCGTGACTGCTGAAAAGAACTTCACAACAAAGTTCCAGCTCTACATAGTACGTTTGAATGCAGCAAAGGAGATGGACTCGAGAGAGAAAGAAACCTAGAAACAATGTGACATGGAATTTTACCATCTTTTCTTGATACAAAATACGTCATTTGCGTTTTTTAGCAGTATGGGGTCTCGGTGCTTTTCTTCACAGTGCACACCACGATACCCAGACCAACGGGCAAGGCTAGTCACTTGACCGTTGATGCAGCATTTATTGATTACAATCCTACTGTTTACTAATAAAAATAAAAGATCAATTTCCATAAGAAGTTAATGGCATCTGGTATTATATTTCTTTATCTGTGTGCCTCTCTACTTATTAATAAGAACAGATCTAAGTGTAAGTAACCATGTCTCTCTATTGTGTTTTTTTAAAGTTTGTCCATTTATTTTATTTTTTAATAATATATTTTATTGATTTTTTACAGAGAGGAAGGGAGAGAGATAGAGAGTGAGAAACATCGATGAGAGAGAAACACCGATCAGCTGCCTCCTGCACACCTCCTACTGGGGATGTGCCCACAACCAAGGCACATGCCCTTGACCGGAATTGAACCTGGTACCTTTCAGTCCTCAGGCCAATGCTCTATCCACTGAGCCAAACCAGTTTCAGCCATGTCTCTCTATTGTTGTCTACAAGTTAGAAACAGCATGAGGCTTTGATTCATGTCTTCAGCTTTTTTTTCCCTTTTGTTTCCATCATTGACTCTTGATTTGGGGGATATTTATCTTTTGGCAACATATACAACATTGTATTTGTGGCAAGTATTATTGGCTTACACATCTGTCTAGTTGCTTGCCACCAATACCCCATTAGATTGCACCATCTTCCTAAAATGTTTCTTGTTTCCAATCAATGCTTTATCCTTTTTTAAAATCCTTTTCTAATATGTGTATTACCTTAGAGCCAGATCTCTCCAAACAGGACAAACAAAACAGCTATTTGTTTGGCTGCTTTGAGTCTTACCGAGTCTCTATTATGAACAGAGCATTTTGCTAAGCACCAAGGTTTGCAAAAGCAAGCATCAAGGACACAGTTGTTGTCATTCCAACTGCTCAGCCCTCTGAACCTGTCGACACCATTCTGTCTTGAACATTTGCTGTGGCAGGACTTTCAGAGTAAACCTATTCCATCTGCTTCCTCCTATATTCAGCTTTGCACAGGAGGGATTAGGGGCCAATGCTGAATATTTTGCAATTTGTGGTCATGATTAATTTAACCTAAACTCCCACAAACTCAGGTAAGTTTTTCCATAACATGTGATCATCTGGAAGTTCATGGAAAGCAAATGGGAGGCAAACTCAAAAGAGACCTAGATTAACAGACCTATTTCCCACAGCCTCTTCTTATCCCTATGTTGTTTTACTAAATTTAATCTCAGAGCCCTTTGATTCAGGTATCACCCCCATTTTATAGTCAAGAAATTAAGGTCCAGAGAAACAAAGCAATTTTACCCCAAAACACATAGCTCAACCACACAGAATCAGACCTTGATGCCAATTTCTCTGATTTCAATGTCCACTCTTTTTCCATTGGTTCACATTGCTTCTATATTTCATGATTATCAATTTGAGACAACTAGAAATCTTTTCTTAATTGCTATCTTTTTTAGCTGCTACATAGTTAGCTACATAGTTAGAAGGCATACTTTGATATTCATGGGTACTTTCTTCTTGAAAAGTGTTTCCTGTATTGGTTTTCATGACATTATCAATACTCCTCTGTTGTTTATTTATCCTTCTACTTTTTTCCTGATTCAATTAATGTAGGCATCCCGGTTGTCTATCATCAATCATGTATCATCAATCATCTTTTATCTCTCTATAATGTCTCCTTTGGTTTCTGATAACCTCAATGATCACAGGACTGGACCACACCTGTGATTCCATACTTTGTGTACTACTAGCATACAAAATTGATACTTCTCAACCTGCATATACAATTTCCTTTCTAAAAGCTCCTCTTAGGGCATGAGTGGGGGGAATGGGGAGTAATGTGGGGATAAGGACACATATTTAATAACTTAATCAATAAAAAAAATTAAAAGCTCCTTTTCTATATTGTCCATTTATTTTAATGATATAACTTTCCTTTCAGTCAACCAGTTTGAAATGTTTTGAATCACATTTGAATCCCTGTTACTGCCCTCATCTCAAGAGTTGCCAGGTCCTGTTGAAACTAACTCCAACATATCCACTCATATCACCATCAAAAACCTTTGAGATACCTTCCTGTCATGTCTTCTCCAATATTCTTGCTCACCGCTTTCTATTACACCACTCTACTCACATAACAGCCTTCATATCTAGTGCTGTATGACTCCCCAATGTTTATGATATGAAGTTCACCTACTATAACTTTCCTTATGTTTAGGTTCCTGAAATAGAATGCCAAGCTACTTTTCCAACCTTATAATCTCTCCTCTTCTCCCCTTGCATATACCTCTTGATCTTACCAAGTTGACCTATTCCTTCTTCTCAATGCATCCCCTGCACTTTTCTGACTTCATACTTTTGTTTTGATAAAAAATGCTGTCCTTCTGTTCCCCTACTTCACACATCCAGGTTCTGCTTAATTTTCAAACCTCTGTAAAAACTTTTCTAATACTTTCAAGGGAAATTCATCTTATCCTCTGAATTTCTACATCACCTTATTTCTCACCTCTATGGTGGAAGTGGTTGTCTTCCACCTTGTAGGATGTAGTTTATGTAGTTATTTATTAAATAAACCTATTCCTTGACTGTGAATTCCTTGAGAGTAGGAATCACTTCTGACCATCACTGTAGCCTTCAGAGTGCCAAGCACACTGCCTTAATCTTAGCAGATCCTCAAAAGACTTTTAGATTGAGATTATTTTTTAAACAATATCTCCTCATTTACAAAATTAATCACAACTTGGAACTGTAAACTGAATCCAGGACATTTTTACAGGTCATCTGGTTAAATAACTGTCCTTCAAGACCAATGGACAATTCTTGGATGACTACTTTATTTCTACATTCTATAAAGTGGAGTGAAGTTAGAAAATTGGTGTTTCATAAGAGCTACACAATCAATTGATGGTATCTTGACTTCTCCAATAAAACGAAAGTTCACTTAAAGTGAGGTCTACTTAGAAGTTCAAAAAAAGGTATCCATCTTGGGGGCAGATAATCTGTTGTACACAATAAGTAAGAAAGCAATAGAGAGCATCTAATACCAAACCCATTGAGCTATGGACTTTTTAAATGTCTATGTTTCTTACCGACTTAGGTTAGTAAGAATTATAATCACTTTGGCATAACTAGGATAATTAAATCTCTATTGCAGAGAAAGGCATTCTGCCTTTGACTTAGAATATCATTGAGAATAATTCAATGTAAGGATAGGTGATTGGTTTTTATTTATTAGTTCATTTATCACATCTTTCTATAGCATTAGGTTGGCATCTAGCCTACACAATAGTCAAAATGCATTGGTATTTACATGTTTTGATTCACCATTTACATAACTTCCCTTTAGTTAAAAACATATTAAATGCTTCCAATAATATCTTCTTTATGAACTTTAATAATTTAAGTCATACAATTCAATAGCTATTTATGGTGTACATATCATAATTGAGACCTACCATTATAGTGTTTTCAGTGCACAAGGGGAGAAAACAAGTAACACATGAACAAATCCACTTGAGTTATGGAAACATTAGAGAGAATATTAGTATATTCAATAGTGAGAATGCTGTTTACTGGACTTGTTAGGGAAGGCTCTGTGATACACAAGGGATAAGAAGCAGCCATAGAGGCAATATTCTAGGAAAACTAATGAAAATTTCTTGGAATAAGAAAGAACTTGGCACGTTTTAGGCAGTGAAAAAAGGCCAATGTGTTTGAAGAATAATGAGTAAGAAAAATGGAATAAATAATAAAGTTGGAGAAATATGCAGGAATGAGAGCATAACAAACTATTTTTGGTAAGGAGTTTAAATTTTATTCCAATAGAAATAGGAAATCATAGAAGAGTGTTAAGCAAGAGCGATGTGATATAATTTACAATTTATACATTTATTTTGACAGATAAGTGTGAAAAATTAAGGTGTGTTGGGAAAAAGTGAATATGGGGAAAGTGAGAGAGCATTGCAATAGTCCAAGAAAAAGGTGATAGAGGCTTAAAATAGGATGGTGGCAGAGCAAATGGAGAGGAGATGGAGATATACTTTGGTAGTGGTGCTAATGAGACTTACTGTTGAATTGGATGTGGTAGGTGACAGAAAGAAAGCTAGAAAATATTTTGAATAATGATGCTTTTTATTAGCTAAAGAAGCTTAGGAGGAAGAGGTTGAGAGCAGCAAATCAGCTATTTTGAGCCTCATGTATTGAGATTTTTTTGTAGGAATTTTTTATTGGGCATTTACTAAGTGGACTTTTGGGGTCTTAGGGATGTTCAAGTCTATCTTTAGAAGACAAGGAGTTTCTGAAAGTGGTTGTAAGAAGTTGCACCAACTATGGAAATATGGAAGTTCAGTTGCTCTCCATCTTCATCAGTAAATGGTATTGTCAGTGGTTTTATTTTGTCATTTTACTAATGTTTGGTTTTGTTTTCTTTTTACCTTTTTACATGAGATACTTCTAAGACAACCATGTGGGAAGTTAAGGAAGCAATTGACACAAGTCTGGTGGGGAAGACAGGTTAGGGCTAAGCATATCCATGCTGCAGTTTCTGCAAGAAGATGGCATTTAAAGCTTTGGAATTGAATGAAACTACTTAGGAAGAAACTCCAATATTTCAGGCTAACATAGAGAAGGAGAAGCCAGACAAAGTATGAACATTCAG